ACTAACACAAGACCTAGAACTAGAATCATTCGGGTTTAGCCGTCTTGAGAGACGTGCGGCTGAACCCGAATGTTTCTAGTTCTAGGTCTAGTGTTAGTTCTAGTTTTACACTAGTACTGTTACTATGTAGAACTAACACTATACCTAGAACTAGAATTTAGCCGTCTTTAGAGACGAGCGGCTAAACCCAAACGATTCTAGTTCTTGGTCTAGTGTTAGTTCTACATAGATAACAGTGCTAGTGTAAAACTAGAACTAACGCTATACCTAGAACTAGAATCATTTGGGTTTAGCCGTCTTTAAAGACGTGCGGCTAAACCCACTATACTAGAACTAGAATCATTTGGGTTTAGCCGTCTTTAGAGACGTGCGGCTAAACCCAAATGATTCTAGTTGTAGGTATATAGTGGTGCGTACGAGAGTCTCGCATGGTCTCGTCTCGTTTTCGAGACGATACTCGGACAAGACAAGACGAGGCTTTCATTGGTCTCGTCTCGAGTCTCGTGCATGAGGTCTTGCGTCTCGTACGAGAGTCTCGCAGGTAAGTATTTCTGCAAATAATATCTGCAATATTTCTTTAAATATTTTCGTATCTACACGCTGGAATTCCAGTAATGATATGTTAAAAGTACCCCTTAAAGGTAGACGTTGGATTTGGTGTATTGTGTCAAAATGTTGTTGATTTAAAACCATATGCTCTTGAGGACAAAGAATAGATACTGCTAGAAGAAGTGCATAAATTACTAGTCAACTTTCAAATACTTTCCAAGAAACTCGGAGGAGAGAAGTACATCAAATTACCTATGGTGGTTCTATGTATCAATATACTAATACATAATATTGAGAGCAAAATATTTACATGGGACCGAAAGGCAGATCAAAACGCTGTCGAAGAGCAGCTTATTGTTACTTTTCATGCTACGAGAGACAAAATATTAAAGCATTATCGTAGGACTAATTAGATTTATGCTGCAGTATTAATTCTAGATTCGCGGCATAAGGTAGAAGTTTTTGATATGACAAGATTGCCTATTTCAATCAATCAGAAGACCAATGTTCGAAAGTAACGGCATTGGAGGAACGAGCAGATTCTAGAGCGGAAAAGTCGGATTTTGTAATTGATATTGATGTTTTGTATGTAGTAAATCCTACGCCTTCCGAAGGAGAATGGATGCAGGAGCTTCAAAAATATTATTCTATGCCTCGGTGTAATAAAGACACAGATATATTACAATGGTGGAAAATTCATGCTTCTGAATTTCCTATTTTATGTTTAATGACACGAGATCTCTTAAGCATACCGGCTACTTCAGTCCCGGCGGAAAGATTATTCTCACGTGCTGCATTAACTATAAGAAAACATCAAAATCGCCTTAATAATAAATCTGCTCGATGTTTGTTATGCCTAAACGATTGGGTGAAAAACAAAATCATTTGCGACCGACAGGCTGAGGGTGTAAGTCTGTCTTCCGACTCTTACATTATAGCAAGTATTTAAGTATTCCTTATTGCACTGAAACAATAAGATTATGCATGACGGGATTTCGATACTTTTATGATACTCTCGTACGAGAAACGAGACGAGACGAGAGTGGAGGTTGCGAGACGAGACTTGATACAAGACTTATTAGTTCATCGGCGAGACGAAACAAGACTTTATGAAAATCTCGTCTCGTTGGTCTCGTGCGAACCACTATAGGTATAGTATTAGTTCTACATAGTAACAGTGCTAGTGTAAAACTAGAACTAACACTAGAACTAGAAACATTCGAATCTAAACCAAAACCATAATTATTCACAATTTATGAGTTCTTTCAAATTTATGGACAACATCCCATTTGATTATTTTAACTTATTTTCTCCTTATCTTGTTTCTTGTCGATTAGAACAATTTTGGAACACACCAATAACCTTTTTCAACTTTTTGGCAACTTTGAAACACTTTCAAAACTCGGTAAAATTAATTTTTCAATTTAATCATCTCATTTAATCATCTCAATATAAACGTTCGCAGAAAGAATTGCTTGTCCATCCTGCCTCATAGCACCCAACTGTTTAAAAGGTCTTTTTCTTACAGAATTGGCGATTTTTGGAATTCTCTGCCGGAAGCTTTGCGCTCTAAATAATCAGTGCTTGCCTTCAGAAAAGCATTTAAATTACAATGTTTTTGTTCTTTCGTTTTTGCGTGTTTTCTTGATTCATCTGTTCTTCCATTCTCTTCTTATTTATAGTATTTTCGAGCGATTGTGAAAATCAGAGTTGTTTATCTAAACCTCCTCTGACAATCGTCCGAGTTGACTTAATTTAATTAATAGTATTTTTATTTTGATATTTTATTATATTTTTGTATTAGGTTTTTGTTATCAGGTCAATAAATGAATTATTATTATTATTATTTAAGAGTTACAAAGATGTTTAAAGCCATTTAGAACCATTTTGAACCAAAATCATCAATAAATCCCATTTTTTGAATTCTTTCAAGGTTATGGACAACATTCCATTTAATTATTTCAACTTATTTTTTCTTCCTCAAGATGTTTCTTATTCAATAGAACCATTTTGACACATACCAAACACCTTTTTCTATTTCCTATTAGCTTGGAAACGTTACTTCCTTTAATCCTTATTCCTTTATAATAATAAACTTGTATTTTAAAAGCAACACTAAAAATTTTAACATATTATACAAGTAATTTTCTCCAAATAAAAACTTACAACATCGTTGTTTTACCCTTTTTCGGTTTGAATTTAATCCCCACGTGTTTAAAATTACATACTACTAACGTTATGACTAGAACTAACACTAGAACTAGAAACATTTAGCCGTCTTGAGAGACACACGGCTAAACCCGAATGTTTCTAGTTCTAGATGTACTGTTAGCTCTAGTAATAGTGAAAAAAATTTGCTGTCTAAGATAGACAGAGGCAAGACTAAAGCTAATTAGCCCAGTAACATCAATACAATAACAGTATCAATGACCACCATCAAAACACATTGGACCAAAATTTGTGCATATATCCTCTAAGCCTCAAAGCTAAGAAAAAAGATATGGATGCAGCTATGTAGCCTTAAATAAGGATATATCAAAAAATATCTGAATGACAATGAAGTTAGACAATGAAAAGTCTTCCAATTTCGACTTCAACATCCAAAGTCAGAAATATTCATCTCTGTGCTAATCCCTTTAATAATAGTAGCTTTTTGCAAATTTTTATCCCTATATGTATCTAAAGGTGAGGTATAAAGAAATTATAAAGGTTTATTACACTTTGTAGAATCATTTTAGGTCTATGACAAACCACCACAACAAATAACTAACTTATTCAAATTCGTTTTTAAGAATTTAGCTTTAGTAGCCTTTTTATTAAAATAAATCCCTATATTTAATGACAATCCTTTTTCTGAACACCCCTTATTCCTGCTTATTCTTCTTATTACTATTGATTCACCCTGTATATAATCAACAAAAAAAAATCTTGATTTCTTAAAAATTTATTTAAACATAAACTAAATCATCACAATTGGATGTTAAATAGATTACAAATAATGTAATAAGTCTTTATAGTATGTCATTCTTCTAATTGATCACTAGGTTTAAAGTGATTCAATAGGTTAATTGTCCAATCACCTTCTTTTCCTTTTGTGTATTCTCTGATAAATCGATAATTACAAATAGAAATACGTTTTTGATATTCAGGCATAACGCCCATGTTTAAAGGTGGTTCTTCACCTCGTTCTCTCATTGAAGCTAAACCTCGTAAAGTGTGAAAGACCATTGTGACTTCAACGAATCGTTTCTGCTCTTGTCCTTCTTGTTCATTGAACATTATGCCTACTTGATAAGGAAATGAAAAGTAAATATCTTCACTATTGATGGCGATTTGTTCTCTTTGGAAAACCGACATGTACTGGAGGGATTTTTGTAATGATAGCACAACATCGCCTGTTACTAATCCTTCTAAATTTTTTACATCTCCCTGAGAAATTTTTGATGATACAACCTATTAAATAAATAATGTTAATTAAAATGTTGGTTGGTGATATGTTTTATACCTCTAAAGCCTTTTTAGAACCCATAACAAAATCAGGTATATTAAAATCGCGATCCAGATATGGTTTGATAATAAAAGTAGCTAATATAAAATTTCTTATAGATTTAATTAATGAAGGCCAAACAATTTCGGGAAAATTCATCAGTGGTGGAAGTTTGGAGCTTGGGGGGCCACTATTAGAGCTACAAAATCGTTTTTTGATGTCGTTTATGCCCAGTTTTCGATTCCTTAAAATTTCGTTTGAGGTTAGGTTATGTGACGGAGATCCATCGCAGTTACAAACGACCTGGAAATTACCGCCGGCAAAGTTTCTGGCGATACAGTTTCTCAAGAAGAGATTTTTTTGAGGATGTATTTTAAAAAAATAAACATTGGTCAAATTTTTCATTGTTAAAATCGGTCTCAAAAGTAATAACTAAACATCTCCGAAAGATGGCACTTTTACGTCAAACATTTTTGACTTGATTAATTTTAACAGTTTAAAACCAAAGTTTAGGCAACCCAAACAACACGTTAAAGAAATTATTTTTTAAATATGATTTATATTTATTATTGATAATAAATTTAGTTAAAACTTAAAATTTTCTTGAGTTAGATGTGTCAAAAAACATAAATTTCAATTGTTCTAATTAAAAAGCGTTAATTTAAAAGTCATAGAGTGTCAAACAAAGTGTCAAATCCGTTGGATGCTTATAAGATAATTTTGGATTGTTTGAAATTGTTAGTGGTAAAAAAATTCATCATCAACCGCATCGAAATAGTCCATTCGTAAATAAATAACTGTGTTAATGATCAACGTTGATGAATAACGTTTAAATTTCGCGCGACGCACGCGCGGTGATATCTTTAATTTACTGAGCAGGATATTTGCGCAATGGACATTGAAAACCAGCTGTTTGGTCAGACAACGAGGACGTAAGGAAAGTGGAAGTTGGTATCGTGAGTGACGCACGGGCCCCGAGGTGTTTCTGTTACGAAAAACAAGCCATTGTAGAATAGAGTATCAGTCGAATGGATCATAAACGAGCTTGATACACTATTAAAAAAGTAGAGACTTGTCAAAAAAACGGAGAATAAAGTGACTTTTTAATCCGAGTTAACACATCTTTTCGTTTTTTTTTGTCGTGATTTGGTGTGGTTGTTGAGAAAAATGGCTGGTTTGAGACTGAACAGCAGTGCCCTACGTGCTTTGGCCGTCGAGTACAAGTCTCTCCAGGAAGAACCCGTCGAAGGATTTTGCGTTAAACTTGTCAACGAAGATTTATTCGAATGGGAGGTTGCGATATTTGGCCCCCCGGACACCCTTTACATGGGCGGTTGCTTCAAGGTGAGCCAAAACGTTAACGTTATTTGCCCCGTTTATGTAGGTACGAGATACTTTGCCACTTCTCTCTCAAAGCCTCTCTCTATAAATAAATTACGCGGTTGACGCAAACTATTTCAACGTAAAGTTAAATCGAATATGTAGAATACGCGAAAGCTACGTGGGGGCACCCTGAATACGCTTTCTTTTGTGTTGACTATAAATTGCGTTTCGACCACTTATATTTTCACTTTCGTTTTCTTGCTTTTATTTTTAAAACATAACATAACCCACCTCTCATCTCCTGCCATTGTCGAACAATCAAATTAAAAATAGGCAAAACGAAATTGTTGGTGAAACTACGCTTTGTACAAAAACTTTGTTTTTTTAAACTGCGATGTTTTTGTTGAATTAAAATTTTACTTTGTCACTTACTATTTTTAAAAGTTGTTTTTAAAGTTGTTCTAATCTGGAGCAAATAAGAGAAGAAAGTGTTTGTACTTGGACCTAATTCGATAGAGAACAGGGGAAAAAAGAACTGGAATTAATGCAGCCAGAGGTACAAAAACGAACTCTAAATAATCCTAATTTGACATCTAGTACAAGTAAAAGAAAATCATAGTCATTCAGAGTCATATTTTCTTCTGTCGCTACTTCCAGCGTTTAAGAAATACGACCAAGACCAGAAATTATGAACGTAGGGAATACTTTACTTACTTTGCATGAGGACTCCTAAAGCAGCTAGTGTACCAACTTCAATCATGCACCTCTTTTGCTAGTTTATCAACTCAAGATGAATTACTATTTGCAGGATCCCCATAATCAGATCCTTCAATGATTCATAAAGTTTATAAAATTGACCATTAAATCGCTTACTGATAAAGGGATGAACCCAAAAACACCTGTTTTTCTTCTTTTGATAAGCAACGCACAAACACATGCGATGTCAATCCTTCTGTCTTCTTAACAGTCCTTCTCTTTTGCATTCCCACATCCCTATCTCTGCCCTCTAGTTGTCTCCACATCTCAATCGCCTCCTCTCTTTTCCTGTTCACCTCTTCCGTTAGTGCTTCACCCTGATGTAGTACCCTTTCCTGCNTTAATAGCTTGGATAATACCGCATCGCTTTTGTTTTGCGATATTTCTCATATCTGTCATAATAAGGGAGGGGGAGGCCAATGCGTTTTCAAATGTTTACATTTTAATATCTCCTGGACCATTCAACCGATTTGAATATTTTTGGTCTTGTTTGAAAGAGCATTTCATGCTCTTTTAAAAGATATTTTCAGTAACACCGCTTGGTTTAAAACAAATAAGCTAGATGGCGTTATCTGCAGCGGTTACATATTTTTGTGATTTTTGAAAAAAAGTTAAATGGAACGGTACTATTTACTTCACAGACCATTAATCACCATAAAATTTGCTAAATATTAGTGAAAACAGCATCTCGATATCGCCACCCGTTCTCGAATTATAGCAGAAAATGTTAAAAACTCGGCCTTAACGTTCTAGAGATACAGCCGCTCCGTACGCTTAACGGAACACCCTGTATACCTTGGCGCCTCCTTAGCCAACCTCAACACCCCACATGCAGTACCTGGTCTGCACATTTTCTAACAGCCCTCGCTCTTTCCATCCCCATATCTCCAAACCATACATCATTACGCTTTTTATCAAGGTCTCAATTATACTCCTTTTTTCCACATCCTTCCCAAATATCCTCTCCCCTCATGGCAGAAATGAAACTAAAATCATTCGTTAATAATTGATGAAAATAAAACACTGCCTGGACTGGAAGAACTGACAACGGGATATTTTAAATACAAGTGTCACTAAAGTCCGGTAGCACGTTATTTCTGTTGATAAAAATGGAACGGCAGTACATAAAGACATGAAATTTGGCATAAACGTTATTCAAACATTAACAAGCAATATAAATTCCATAATTGGGAAATGCAGCCACCGTGGCGGAGAGGTACTCAACGTCGAGATCGTCCCATGTCTTCTGACGTGCTTCAAACTAACAAGATTCTTGTGGGAAGTAGCACAGATTTTGCTCTGAAAGACCGACCAGACGGAAAACTCTAGGAGTTTCAAATCAGGCGAGTAGGGAGGAGCCGCTCAAGTATTTTTACGTTTTTATATTGTCTATAGTCAGGCGCCGCTCACGTATTTTTACGTTTATATGACATTACTTGCGGCTCCTGGCGTAACAATACGTAGTGAAGATGTCACCCATTGACGTTATCCTAATTGTATATGGAGCGGACGCGAAAGTGTTAATAAAGAACACGTTCATCTATTTCAAATTGCTCTCTGAAAAGCATGATCAACTTCTGATAGCATTTAATTCAACGTTGTAATCGTATGACTGCTTGAAGTTTATGACGTAATCATTTTTGGTATTTATAATGAATTAGTTCCAGTGATCGAATCGATATCAATTTTGATCAATCTGATAGCAGACTTCTTATTTTATATAAGTACTGTATGTGTATAAAGCAAATAAATTGGAATAAAATACAGGTGTCCCATAATTATGATTAAATCAACCACAAAAATTTTCCCCTGTTCTTAGTTTAAATCAAAGAATCCCAATCATTAATCAATACACATTTCTGTTTTCAATCAATTTGAGAATGAACGAAAATTAGAAGTATTCAACTACGACGATAATTAATATTATCAACGGGAAACATCGTCACTATAAAGTTTGTAAACATTAAACTGGTTTCATCTGTTATTGTTTTGAATCATATGAGTGTTTAAAAGACTCTTATCATTATCAAATACATAAATATAAGATTTATGATTAAACGTTTCGCAAATTCTTAATTTAGAAATTTAATATGTAGATTTGAAATAGATTAGATTGTTTTATGCTTATTTAATAGTGTCGATTATCAATGTCGTTATTTTATTTCTTTGTTAAATTGTTTTAAATATTTTTTGAAATTGTTAAATAGTTTTTTTTTGTTATCAACGATGTTATTTGCACATTTTCGTATTCAGCATGACGTCATGGAATTAGTTTAGTCCAGTATTAAGTGGTTATAAGAACTTATTACTTATAATTGAATAACGAAAATCAATCAGGATCATGCCATAAAAGAACTATAACATAACTGGTTTTCGGAAACTGAAGAGTTGGCTTAACTTTCTCATATCCATAGAATCGATGATTAACTGAATAACTTGATCGCAGAGGTTATCAAATCTACTTCAATATGACTCTAAGTACTGAGTCATATACTACCCCAAAACCTGCGCTGCATAAATACCCTCATGAAAGAGTACAAGAAGATCTTGAGCAACCAAGACCTACAAATACACGAAGAGATTGGTCAAAACAGTAGCCATTGCCACAGATGAAGAATTCAGCCTGACTAATCAACAATGGATAACAAAGGAGAAGAATCAAATTGGATGTATTACCCAAAAATCTTCTGGTCAACTCTAAACAGAATACTGACCCAATATGGTAGATGTGTCTACTTTCTGCATAAATGGAGGAAGACTATTACCTAAAGATTTCCTACTTGACTTATTTCCTGTTGCTCTTGATGGAGCATAGAGCAGCAAGTCTTTTTTGAACGTCCTCGTCTCCGTGCTTCTTGGAGATTCCAATCAAGCGCCGACATCTCAACTGCTCCATGAGGCTTCCTTAGCGTGTGACCAATCCAACGCCATTTCCTCTCCTTGATTTGGCCACTAATGGGTCGTTGGTTTATTCTCTCCCACTTTAAGTAAACATGCGTAAACTTGTAGTTAAAACATAATATGTTACCGAAAAAAGAACTAATTCTTGAGAATTTTGTCTACATTTATTTTAAAAAAATGTACGAGACATTCGAAACAAAATCTTTTCTTCGTAAAATCTAGAACGCGTCCTAATTTTATGAGCCAATAACTATTTTAAACACAATTAATTGAACCGCTTAATAAACAACAACAATTTTAATAATTTATTTTTTTTTCTTCGGAATAAAAAACATGATTGGAATTACAAGTGGAATGCACATGATATAATCCCAAAAATTTTTCTTCTTTTCTATCGGAAATTGTTTGTTCCGTTTAATATCCGTATCCTCTTCATTAGTCATACTTTTATACAAGACTTAATTTTCTTGATGAGAAGTTGTATTTGTTTTTTTTTATATCCTGGGAAAGGTTGTATTCCCAGGATCATTTTCTCGGAATTCTACGTGACAACTCGTTTACCAAGTTGACAGTTATTTTTGGCACCTTTCCGCTCCAACATAAAAGTAGAGAAACGCACCGCAAGGTTCTTGCTATGAGTCAAAGGCCTCGGAAGTGACTCACTTCGGTGCTTGTTCCAACGTTTGAATGTCTCTCCTCGAATGATTTTAGCCTTTTTTTTGTAAATTAATATTTATAGTTTATTTTTTTTTACAGGCAAGGATGAAGTTCCCGCAAGATTATCCTTATTCACCGCCTACAATTAGATTTTTAACTAAAGTTTGGCACCCAAATGTCTATGAGGTAAGTTTTTAGCACACATTAATTTTAATTTTTAAATAAAGGAAGTTGTTTAATTAATTAATAAGTAGAAAAACCATTCATTTTTAGTTAGTTATTTTACACCATATCGATATCAATTCGAACCACTTTAACCTCGAAAAGAAAAATGAAAATGAAGCAGGACCCTGAGTGAATAACCTCGCTATCGACGCGTGCGAGACCGCCAAGTTTGGCCTTGAAGTTTATATTGTCAGACGGAATCTAGACGTACAAAGCGTTGAAATCACGAAATATAATCAAAATCTATTTGAGAATCAATTATCAGTCGTTTAAAAATATGATAAAGAGATAATTTTGTGATTGTGCCGCCTAACACACTTTTGTGTATTATTTCGATGAATCTTGCTTTAGAAGTATTGTTAAAAGTTTGTTGACATTTCTTTGTTATTTAATAATAATAATAATAATAATCGCCTTTGTTCTCCATTAAAATAATACAAATAATCCATATGTTATTATAATACAACCTATCAAATAACTATTAAATACTTAATTATTGGAGAACCTCAAGGTGCAGATCAGATGAGAAAAATTAAAAAGAATGAACAGAAACTAAAAGTAACAATAGAAGTAATGGCCTAAAACTATTACTACAAACCTACTTAAGTTTAATTAATTTCGCAAAAAAAAGAAAAAATTCCGTATCAATTCCATAATATCATAACAATTCAATTCAAAAAAGACTCATTGCAAGGGAAGTCCACGCCATAAAGTGGCTTAATTATTGCTTATTGAAGAGCAAGAGGAAAACAGCATGTCTGAACGCCACTACACCCTTAGTTTTAATTTCTACCGACAGGTTATTATATTTAAAGTAAATGTTATAGCTAAAAAATGAGCCTCATTTGTAATTATTTTGGTATCTACAGTGTGTCCACGGAAAAGGTGTTAAATAGAAAAAACCTTTTTATTTTTAATTTTATCAAAAAAAGTTAATCTTGATAAAAAATTTTGCTAGTTCTTAGAGTAACATTGGGATAGAAACATTTAACATATTTTATACGCGGTGTTCAGAAAATTGAAAAAACTTTAAATGGTATAAAAGTAAAGTGCATTTATTTGAGAAGATAAGGAAATAAGTTACTATAAGTTTTATTTATTTGTGATCATTAAATTTCTTTTAATATCAATTAACTAATTCCAAATTAACAATGCACAAGTTGTAAGTTCATTTACTCAAACACACACTACCAGCCTGTTGGGCACATGCCTTTAAACCAGCGGTTCCCAAACTTATTATGGCTACGCACCCCTTCTTGAGCCAAAATGTGATCGTGGACCCCCTAGTCAGTGCCGTGCTACTAAAACTATTTTTACCGGAATGCAGTGTTCATAAAAAGTGAGCTGGCTAGAAAATTGATGACCTGTCACTGACTTGTGACGTAAAATAAATACATATAAAAACATTTTGATATTTAAAACAACATTAAAAAAACATATTCCTGTTTTAAAGATAACATTTTTTAATGTAATGGGTGAGCCTGATGAGTTGTGATCAAATTGTTTATGTTTGGCTCTATATTTGTAAGCAATAACCGCAAGTCACTACGAGCACTAACATCAAGTTCTATTAACTACGAAGACGAAAAAGCTACTAAAAGTAGATAAGTTGCTAATGAATAAACACAGAGCTAGTTGATTTGTATGTAAAGGGTCCAACACCCAATCGGTAATAACCAAATGAAGAATGTCTTCAAATCTTTTTTTGAAATCTATGTGAAGTGCCCCCAAGTGCTGACAATATACAAGCAAATCAACATCACGATTTTGTAACTAAAAAGGTTTTGGAAATTAAGAGAATTCTCCTCTTCCAAACTTTTCTTTATAAAAAAAAGTTTTTTTACGAATGCAGATATTACACTTTTTGTTTTTATTTAATTCAACCGATCGCCTTGCAGCTTCAAATTGATTTCGTTAAATTTGGTAATCATATCATTTCTTGAATGAAATAAATTAAGTCGCAGATCATTGACTTCAGCTTCAAAGAATTCTAAAACGTAATCAAAAAGTGAGTAAAATCTATTCAAACATGCACTTCTAGACAACCAACGTACTTCTGTGTTCAGTAGCAAACGATTGTAACCTTCATCATTCTCCAGGCAAAGTTGAGCAAATAATCTTGCATTCTTTTTGATTTTATTAACTGCTCTAATCATATAATTTAGTGAGCGATGTAAGATTTTTTGCTACTAAATGTTGTCGATGAATGACACAATGTACTGTTAATATATTCGGTACTGCTTGTTTTAAATATGGCAGAAAACCTCGATGGCGTCCTACCATTGCCGGAGGACCATCAGTAGCAACGCAGATGATATTACACAAAGGAATAGCTTTTGCTTCAAAAAAATATTTAATTCCTTAAATATAATTTCATTTTTTGTATCAGTTTCCAAACATTTCACAAATTATAATTCTTGAAATATTTTTTTGTCCTTTACAAATCTTACATACGCTATACCATCTTACAAATTTAGTTCTTAATACACTTCACAGACTTACATATACTATAACAACTGACTACTGTTCTTACTTTTTGCGGACCCCCCAACGCTAGCTACGAACCCCCGAATTAATTTTATTTTGCTACGGACCCCATGAGAACTTACAGGGACCCCAAGGGGTCCGTAGGAACCATTTTGGGAACCACTGCTTTAAACGAACAAGTAAGTCATCAAAACTTTTTCTAACCTCACGTAAAGATATTGAAGCAACGGCATCTCTAATTGCATCCTTTAATTGATCAGTAGTGGTATTTATTTGAGGTGTGAGATAAACAATTTGTTGTTTCAATCAGACCCATAGGAAAAAATCCATTAATGTTAAATCTGGACTCTTAGCAAGCCACTAAACTGGTCCTTGTCTCCCAATCCAGTGGTCTGGAAACGTATGGTCTAACCGTTGCCGCATAATGTGCTGGGCATCCATTTTGTTGAAAATAAAATACACGACTGTATTCTTATGGAAGATTGTCTAATTCACCGTCGAGGAAATTTCTTAACTATTCGCATTACAAGTAGTGTCAAAGAAGTATGGCCCTATTATTCCGTAATCAGAAATGGCACACCACACATTTACTTTAACACAGTACTGACGCCTTCGTTGTATTCGAAAATGCGGATTAGAGTCACTCCAATATCGTGCATGTTGCGAAGCCACAACACCATTGGTTGAAAAAGTTGATTCAGCAGAAAACATTATTTTCTTATGAAATCCTCTTTCCATACTGCCAACCCACAAATAAAAATCCAAACGTTTTTCTTCATTGTCGACTTCCAAAACATGATTAAAAACTGGCTTGTATGGATGTATCTTGTTGTCTTGGAAAGTTGGGATTCAATTTGCATTATAAAAAAAAGTTAGTTTATTCAAGCTAACTTTTCGGTGCTACAGTTGTTTCGGCAACTACTTGCCTTCCTCAGGCACGACTAAAATTAAGGTAAGCGTTTTTATAGAAAATATAAAGATAAAGCTAAAAAACTGGTGCTGCCTCTCTCGTTACCCCGACCTATAAGATCTATTGTAACTTTAGCCCTCCAAAGGTTTAGGACAAATGTAGGTGCTTAACGAACCTTAGTATTGTCCTGAGGTCTTTTACCTTTATGTCGGTAGGTAACAAGGGAGTTTTACCGAAAATGTTGTGTCTTAGACGGCCTCTGGCGACGCAATTGCACAGTATATGTTCAGCAGTTTCTGACTCGTCGTTGCATAGTCGACAAATTTGATCCTCAGCCTGTCCAATGTGGAAGAGCTGGTATTTAAGGGGCGCATGGCCGGTCAGGTAGCCTGAGAGCGTTCTTAGATCCCCTTTGCTGAGGCATAAAACCTCTTTGGTTTTGTTTTGCGACGGAATTATCATACTCTTCGCTTGTCTGTGAGCTGGAAGTTCTTTCCAGCGTAAGGCTATCTTTGAAACCTCCCAGTTGTTGATTATTTGTATTAGGTGGCTTTTTTGTAGTCTCCCCTAACGAGTTCTCTCAGGTTGTTGGTACACTCTCTGATCAGTGCGGAGTCACACGTGTAGGCCTGAATTGCCTTTAAGGCAGCTCGACTATCTGTGAAAATGTTTATGGATGCACCTTTTTGTCCCTTCTGTAGGTTCAAAGCGGTGCAGAAGTTTATAGCAAGAACTTCTGCTTGGAAAATTGTTAAGTCCGAGCTGAGGGGGGCTATTTGATCCACTGATGCCCATGCCTACTCCAGATCTTACTGTCTTTGAAACATCGGCGTACCAGGCTAGGACTCCTCTTTTTAGTTGAGACCCTCCCTTCGCCCAATCATCACTGCTTCTAAATATGACCATATACGGCTGGTTGAAGTTGTAGTGATTCTTCTTGAGGATCTCGAGGTGTCCTCTGAGGTTACCCTGCATCAACTTGAGTGAAGAAACTGTTTTCAGTGATAAGGCACTTAAGGCTGCCTCCTTTTGTATACAGGGTGTCACACAAAAAACGCCCCAAGCTGTAACTGTCATTTACAGTCCGATTTTCATGAGTGAGGTAACAAATGAAATGGTTTGATGAATACTATGATGCATGCTACAAATAAATTTTTTCCAAGACCATCTTCAATTTTAAACGATTATTAACTTTTGTTTTTCAAATTGCTCCATATATTTTTCTTCAAGTCATTGGATGGAGATTGTTTTTCTGAATCCATTGATATACAATACATCCATTTTGAAAGTAATTTTAGCAAAAAAAAGACACCTGTATATACAGGTTATCACACAAGAACGCCGCAAGCTGTAACTTTGTCATTTACCTTCTGATTTTCATGAAGGAGGTATCAAATGAAATGGTTTGATGAATACTATGATTCATGCTACAAATAAACTATTTCCAGCGCTATCTTTAATTTCAAGCGATTAACAACTTTTGATTTTCTGAACTGCTCGGTATGTTTTTCTACACGTTATTGTACAGAGTATGTATAGAGATTTTTTTTCTGAACCCAATGATGTACAATACATTAACATTAATTGTAATTAGAGCAGAGAAAAACAATTAAAACATTTTTCCGAACATTGTCTAAGGGCCGGTTGTACCACCTCCCGATAAACTATCTAGCGGATAATTACCATGGTTACAGCGGTTTTAAGCGCTCTCATTGGCTAAGTGCGCCAATTTATCTATCGGATACACTTATCGGGAGGTGGTACAACCGGCCCTTAGTCACTTCTGTAATACTATGTACCATGGAAGAAAGAATGCGCAAAACTGATAACAGTCATTAAATGTTATTTGAATGCCCGAAGCAGTTGTAAATGATACTTATAAGTTGTTTTTTTATTTTTTTTTCACATGGCACACTACAGTATAACGCAAGTAACTTTAAGAGAATGTTAGGAAACTATTTTAATGTTTTTCTATACATTTACAATTAATGTTCATGTATTGTACATCAATGGATTCAGAAAGGGAATCTTTATCCAATGGCGTGAAGAAAAATATACGCAGCAATTTGAAAAACAAAAGTTAGTAATTACTTGAAATTGAAGATGGCGTTGTAAAAAATTTATTTGTAGCATGAATCATAGTATTTATAAAACCATTTTATTTGATACCTGGGTCATGAAAATCGGAATGTAAATAACAGAGTTACAGGTTGGGACGTTTTTTGTGTGACACCCTGTATATAAATAGAGCGGTGTGAGACCGAGTAGGGCTTCCAAAGCAGCCGTCTGACAGGATCTCATTGCACCCGTTATGTTAAGACATGCTAACCGCTGGATTTGTGCTAGCTGTTGTTGTGCTGTCTTATGTTTTGTTTTTGGGTCTGATTATTGCTACGTAGGCCCAATGAGCCATTCGTGGTTTGAGACCCCAGTTCCTTCGTAGGAGCCTGCGGCAGATCTGGTTTGCCATGATGGCCTTTTTCCTCACCTTATCTAAGTGTGAGTTCCAGTTTAGTTTACTGTCAAGTATTACCCCTAGGTAATTAGCTTCTGTTTTGAGGTTAATAGTTCTGCTTTCAATGGAGCGTGCTTTTATTTGTAGCTTCTTTCTCCGAGCTCTTAGCTCCTTTCTGCATTAGCTGAGTTATAATTGAATCCTATTTACGTCGGCTTGTGATTACCAGGTCATCAGCATACCCTTGTATCTTAAATCCGTTTTTACTTAGGGTGTTCATCAAGTCATCAACTAGCAGGCACCATAATAGAGGTGATAGCACTCCCTCTAGGGGACATCCTCTTAGCGCCTTTATAGTCAGCGACTCGCCTCCCAGACTGGCTGTGATCTGCCGACTGTTCAACATGACTATACACCACTTGATTGTCGACGGATGTATGTCTTTTACGTTTAGAGCCTTCTCTATGGATTCTGACCCAGTGCTTAAAAACTTCAAAATTATTTTACGGCAAGTAGTCTCAGAAACGTACACATTGGGGAATTTTTCATTGCACCAAGTAAATTTTTTGCTGTAAAGTAAGCATTTTAAGCTGGCAATACAATAAGGCTTGTCACTATCAACGCCTACTAGTACAAAAATGATCACAAATAAATAAAAGTAGGCCGATTTTTTTGGAAAATTGATGTTGGAGACTACCTTTTACTTTTTAACAACTTCTCCTAGTAACTTATTTCCATATCTTCTCAAATAAATGCACTTTACTCTTGTAACATTTAAAGTTTTTTCAGTTTTATGAACACCGCGTATAAAATATGTTAATTGATTCTATCCCAATCTTACTTTAAGAACTAGCAACATTTTTTATCAAGATTAACTTTTTTCGATAAAATTAAAAATAAAAAAGCTTTTCCGTGAACATACTGTATATTATTTATCAAATACATTTCAAACCATTAATTGTCTCAATTACAATTATTGTTATTTTTGTTATTTAGAATGGTGATTTATGCATAAGTATTCTACATCCTCCAGTTGATGATCCTCAATCAGGAGAGTTACCCTGCGAACGTTGGAATCCAACTCAAAATGTCAGAACAATTTTGCTCAGTGTGATATCTCTCCTAAATGAACCAAACACATTCAGTCCAGCCAATGTCGACGCGTCCGTCATGTACCGACGTTGGAGGGATTCGAAAGGTCGCGACAAAGAATATGAAAATATTATAAGGTAATTTGAAATGAAAATTGTTTAAAATATAAGATTTGATCTAAATTTGTTATAGAAAACAAGCAATGGCAGCAAGAGCGGAAGCTGAACGTGATGGAATTCAAGTACCATTAACGCTTGAAGATTACTGTATTAAAACGCAGGTGAAGCCAAATACGTCTGATTCGCAGGTGGAAATGACGGATTTTTATGACGACGATTACGATGAGGAGTATGATGATCCAACGGATGGTTCAGATTACGAGGAGGACGAAAACGACAGCGGAAATGGAGAATCGTGATCTCCTAATCGAACGTTGCGCGCTTGTAAATTATTCTTTTTTATTCTACTATTATATTATTATTAATTTTCATTTTAAGGTTAAAAAAAATAAATTATTTTCCCTTCTCTAAAGCAATTTTTAATTTTTATTTTCTTTTTATCGTCGTTTTTGTTTCTATTTGTAATTAGCACTAAATATTTAAGTAAGTACGGTTAGTGATCTATCCCTAGTTGCACTGAAAGTGATTGTTTACTATCTTAAGCTGGGGAGTTTGTCATATTTCTTTGTTTATGTCCTGGTAATCGTAGATAAGACTTTTTTTTATGATTAAATTATTTTTATTACTGCACTATTTTAAATGATGGTTGTGTGAGAATTTAAGAAAAAGAAAATTGGAGTTTAAAAAACCGTATCTTAAATATTGTTTTGTTGTCGATCTCAATGTCCTGGTGATTTTACGATTACTTTTCACGTTAACTGAGAAGGATAAAAACTTGTATATAATTAAAAACGGTTTTTCGTTTTTATAAAGAAAAGAAAAATTAAACAAATTTCCTTTAAGTTCATGTAAATAGCGTCTCAATAGATGATGTGAATTAACAGTTATTTATTTAGCCTCTTAGGATAATATGATAAAGTAATAAACGTAATTTTCAGTTCCATAAAGTATTATTGAAAAGAAATGTGTTGAATTGAAAACGGTTGCCACAAAACGTTGTCTCGTAGAATAGAACGTTCGGTTTTGTGTGATCGTTACATCCGATTGATCATTTTTTGCCTTACACTGATGGAATTAAACTGTATATTGTTTCTGTTTAACTAAAATTTATCATATTTTCACTGTGTTAATGTACTTCTGTGGGATTTCGAGTTATTGTAATGTCTTAATCCTGAAATAAATGGTTCTGAATTGTCTTTATTGTATTTCTTTTTACCTATATGATGATGAATTCTTTTCCGACTAACATTAAGGGAACTTATTGAATGATCTTTATACTTTATCCTTCTATTAGGGAATTAAAGATAGTCGTCATTGGTAGTCAAATAGGTGGTCGTTGTAGCCCATCATAACTAAAAAGTAATGGTGTAATTTATTATTATTAATAAACTCTAATTGCATTTATCAATCTTTATTTATATTTTAATTATTAATTTATTTATTGACTATTTCTTACCTATTTCTACATTTACGTGTGCGCCATCTATAAGATAACTCTTGAACCATATACTTTATCTTTGATTAGGGAATTGAAGATAGTCATCATTGGTAGTCAAATAGGTGGTCGTTGTAGCCCATCATACCTAAAAAGTAATGGTGTAATTTATTACTATTAATAAATTCTAATTGATTTATCAACCTTTATATTTTAATTATTAATTTATTTATTTAGTATTTTTTACCGATTTTTGCATTTACGTGAGCGCCATCTATAATATAACTCTTGAACCATTATGAAGTTGTGTTATTTATTAATTTTAATTATGGTATTGTTTATAATAAATTAAAAGAAAAATGAAGATGAGGAATTAAGTATTACATTTTCACACAGAAATTAACAAATTAATTATTCAATGTTTAAATTTTTTTCGCCACCTACAGGAATTTTATTGAACATCAACATTATTTAAATAATTTAGATTAATAAATTAAATGAATCGATTTAAATATTTATTTTAAGTATTAACTAACTTTATTTATTAAATTTTAATGACATTATTTATTTCTTCTATCAAATTTTCAATTTTTCCAGATTTGTACAGGCGCCATCTAACCGATAATTTCTGATGTATATCATTCGAGTATGAATGTGGTGTAACGGATAAATAAATTATTTAATTGGATTATTACTAATAATGCAATTAATACACATATACAACAATTTTAAAAATATATTTCTTTATATTTAAATAAATAATCGCGAAAACCGTTGAATATTTAATTTTACCGCCATTAAAAGTATTTTTTACCTATTTTTGCATTTACGTGAGCGCCATCTATAATATAACTCTTGAACCATTATAAAGTTGTGTTATTTATTAATTTTAATTATCGTATTGTTTATAATAAATTAAAAGAAAAATGAAGATGAAGAACTAAGTATTACATTTTCACACAGAAATTAACAAAATAATTATTCAATGTTTAAATTCTTTTCGCCACCTAGGAATTTTATTGAACATCAACATTATTCAAATAATTTAGATTAATAAATTAAATGAATCGATTTAAATATTTATTTTAAGTATTAATTAACTTTATTTATTAAATTTTAATGACATTATTTATTTCTTCTATCAAATTTTCAATTTTTCCAGATTTGTACAGGCGCCATCTAACCGATAATTTCTGATGTATATCATTGGAGAATGAATGTGGTGTAACGAATAAATAAATAATTTAATTGGATTATTACTAATAATGCAATTAATACATATATACAACCTTTTTTAAAATATATTTCTTTATATTTAAATAAATAATCGCGAAAACCGTTGAATATTTAATTTTACCGCCATTAAAAGTTTTTTTTTAACTATTTGTGCATTTACGTGAGCGCCATCTATAATATAACTCTTGAACCATTATAAAGTTGTGTTATTTATTAGTTTTAATTATCGTATTGTTTATAATAAATTAAAAGAAAAATGAAGATGAAGAACTAAGTATTACATTTTCACACAGAAATTAACAAAATAATTATTCAATGTTTAAATTCTTTTCGCCACCTAGGAATTTTATTGAACATCAACATTATTCAAATAATTTAGATTAATAAATTAAATAAATCGATTTAAATATTTATTTTAAGTATTAATTAACTTTATTTATTAAATTTTAATGACATTATTTATTTCTTCTATCAAATTTTCAATTTTTCCAGATTTGTACAAGCGCCATCTAACCGATAATTTCTGATGTATATCATTGGAGAATGAATGTGGTGTAACGAATAAATAAATTATTTAATTGGATTATCACTAATAATGCAATTAATACAACATACACAACAATTTTAAAAATATATTTCTTTATATTTAAATAAATAATCGCGAAAAGCGTTGAATATTTAATTTTACCGCTATTAATGCGCCATCTAAAGGATAACACGTTTAATTTTTAAAGTCTTGCATTTCCGTCAAAGTAACCGTCAACTAACCGTCAAAAGAACTTAATTTTCTGTTACTTTATACTTTAATAAATGGGTGACTATCAAGATTTCTTAAAATGCGTAACAGATTTTTCAATATCTTTGCACGATGACAACACGGTAAACGAAATAGAAGAATTTTTTTTTCGAAAAGAAAAAGAGCTGGATACTTTGTTAGGTACCGGTTATCTTCCAGAACAAAGGGTTAAGGTTAAAAAAGAACGAATTACTAATGTGAGAAAAGAACCTAACGCTGAGGAATTTAAAGAAAATAGCGTGAATCTAAACATAATTCCTGAAGAAAAGGGAAGTACTCGTTGTACACGATCTAAAGCCTTAAAAGATGGCCAAAATGAGCTTAATATTAAAGTGGAAAAAATTAAAGAGGAAAAGATATCAGATGTTTCTACAAAAGCAATGCCTCCACCTCAACAACCCCTTCGAAAAGGAAGAACTAAAAAGGTTCCTACTAGCAAAGTAAAATCTGAAAGGGAATCTGATGTTATAATTCAATTACCACATATAAGTCTGATTTCTTTAACTGATAGTGATGATGAAGAAGAGAAACCTGCAAGTCGTACAAAAACAAAAGTGTTAGTGGCAAAGAATATGGAAGAAATGAATGCTACAAAAACTGTAAAAGATGATCCAAAGAAAAAGGAGATGATAAAAAAGAAAAAATCTCTTGAATTACCTGATGAAACGTTTTCTAAAGACGAATTAAAAACTGCTACAAGTAATAAAACTGTCAATTTAGATGATATTGAGAAGACACCTGTCAGAAGCACACGTACAAAAACTCGCGCAATGGCAGCAAAATCAATGAGACAAGTACAATGTAATGTTACAACCGTTATATCAGAAAAAGAACCATCAAAAAGATCTCGAAGTCCTTTGGCAGAGACTAATGATAATAAACGTAAAAAATCCATTGAAGTTAATGATGTTGTAAATGAAACTTATATAAAAACTCCTCAGAAACCTGTATCAACTGTAAATGAAACAATAATAATTTCAAAAGAACAAAGAATGATTGTCACCACTCCATTAAACAAGCAAGTACCTGTAGATGATTTATTAACAGATGATGAAGATGTTGGAATACACATCAAAACAAAAAAGACTACTACTAAGAAACCAATATTTAGTCAATACGAAACAAGTCCTGTTAAAAAACGTGTGGAAGCTTTTGAAAAATTGGGTGCAGAAATTGCAGCGCAAACGCAGTCAACATCAAGGAAAAACAACATAAAAGAAAATTCAATAAAACCTTCATATACTATTAAATCAAAACAGATTACACCTCTTAAAAGTGGTATACCAACTTATACAAATGGTCCATTAAGTTCTTCTAAAATGCAAACAGCGTCAAAATCGGCTTTAAAAAATACTTTACCACCAAAAACAATCAGCAATTTAAAAGCATCCCAACAGGAATACATAGAAAGAGAAGCGAGACGTCGAGAGAAAGAACAAGAAGCATTACGTAAAAAAGAAGCATTGTTACAAGCAAAACAAGAAGAGATTAAACGCAAAAATGAAGAGAAACAATTAAAACTAGCCCATTTAAAAGCCAAGCAAGAAGCTGAAGAAATGGAAAGGATAAAAGAACAACAGAAACAAGCAAAAGCTGAAAAATATTCTCACAAAAAACAGCCACAAAAGAAAATGGAACGACCCCTTTATATGGATGTGACAGCACCACTGTTGCCACTAGATGATTGTTTTGATAGTGATGATGAGAGACAAGAAAAACAAGAAAGAGTTGAGCGCCCCGGTTGGACTAGAACGCGACAGTTACTGCCTTCGTTGATGAGAGTTACTTATGCTGGAATGGATTTTACAAACACATTTTTCATGCGAAAAGCGACCACTCCAAATTTGGAAGATCTTTTTGGTCCAATGAATTCGAATAAGTTGAAGCGGACATCGAGCGCTATTTGGACCAAACCGCCAAGATTTACACTTATACCAATACCACAACACGATGAGGAAGATGGGGATGAAATTTAATAATTAATCGCATTTTCATTTTATTACTTTCAAAAAATATTTGTTATATTTCATTTTCAAAAAATGCATTTTTAAAATATATTTAATTATTTAACCCTAATGGTTTTGTATGTTCATTTTTATACATGTGTATTATTAACAAAAATTTAAATTACAAATAAAGTTTAATCTCTACAGTTTTTATGTTTTAAATAATCCTTTCAAAATTTAAGGAATTACAAATTCTACTAATTAGTTGTTTCGTTTTTTTGTCATTCGCAAATTATGCATTACTGTATAAAAATTGATAATTTTGCGGGTCTATATTTAATAATTAATTAAAATATATTTTATATTTAATTCTATAAATTTTGTATGATGTTTATAATTAAATTAAAAAATTCTATAAAACGCCATGTCTACCAAACAATTATTATTACACGTGTCAAGAAAACAGTGATGACAAGTCACAAATACAAACAACCAAAAGTGACCGGGTCTTGTTAATAAAGCGAACGGTGAGTTAGTGTCAACGGTGACGTTGCTTGTTTACGTATAAATCTTTTCTGAAAAACGGTTTTTTAAATTTGCCTAACAAAACCATGTCCGGTCAATGGGAAGTTGTAGGCAAGAAGAGAGATAAAAACAGTGTTCAGCAAGCCCAAAAATCTGGAAATAATAAAGAAAATAAGCAGAAAATTGTTGTAAAAGTGGAAGATATTTGTTAGTTTTTTCATTATCATATGGCGCTATTTACAAACTTTGTTATTATCTTTCGTTTTTTTAGTACCCAGATCGCAAATTATCAATTTGTTTGGTAACAATAAGGGTAGCATTAAAGATTCCCAAAAGGTCCAAGAAAAGAGCAAAAAGAATGAAACTACTAATCAACAGAAAAAGCAAAAGAAACAACCACAACCTGTTGAGAAATCAGATGTTCAACCTAAACCAAAGCCTAAATCAATTGAAAGTGCTCTTAATTCTGTGAGTTTTATTTTATGGTGTTTTAGATGTTTTATGAAAAAAATTATAATTTTTTTAGATTAGTATAGATGAACTAAAGAAAGTATACGAGCAAAATAAAACATTATTTCCAGATGGACCTATTGTATGGTTAAAAGAACTTCAACAATTTTTAAATCGGAACATTCCTGTTGAAATTTCAGATCCAATTTTTCAAAATAAGTCAGACTGTTATCCTTTTTCTGTGGTAAGTTTATATTTATAAAGGAGGTTTGTTAAAATAACCTCATTTTTAAGTTTTATTTCATTTAAATATACAGAGTGATTCACATAAGAACCAACATTGAGCAGGGACATGTAGAGTACAATAAATTAAGATGATTTAGCGCAATTTGTCTTTATACTAAGTTGTACCCCTGAGGAGTTATAGGCCTTCAAAGTTGGGTCTTAAATTTTTAAAACATTCAATATCTTCATAATGCATTAAGCTAGAAAAACCTAATTTGGTACACATTATGAGTGTATCAAGGGTGTTAATTGGTAGCAAGTTGAGACCAGTTGAGGCATTTAAAAGGGTTGATTAAGGGTGATGGTCCTCTAAATTTTAATAGATTTTTTTAACCTTTTCGCGGATTTAATAGATTATTACCTCATTTCATGTAGAATTTAATTCTAAAACTTTTTTTACTCTTACTATTTTTTAAAAAACTTTGTCGTTTTCATAAAAAACTCAAAAAACTAAAGACACGTATTTCGTTAATGTTACTTAAAATCATCGAAAATTGAGTAGTCGGCTGTGAAATTGTACGTCAAACTTGACAAATAGGTTATAAAGCCTTGTCATTTACATAAATAGTAACCTATTTGTCAAGTTTGACATACAATTTCATAGCTAACTACTGAATTTTCGCTGATATTAAGCAACATTAACGAAATACATGCTTTAGTTATTTGAATTTTTTATGAAAACGATAATTTTTTTAAAAATAATAAGAGTAAAAAAGTTTTAGAATTAAATTCCACATGAAATGAGGTAATAATGTATTAAATCCACCAAAAGGTTAAAATAATCTGTAAAAATTTCGGGTACCATCAACTTTGAAATGCCTCAATTGATCTCAATTTGCTCACAATGTATACCAAATTTGGTTTTTCTAGCTTAATGTATTACGAAGATATTGAATGTTTTAAACATTTAAGGCCCAACTTTGAACGCCTATAACTCCTCAGGGGTACAACTTAGTATAGAGCTAAGTTATGTTAAATTTATTGTCCTCTACATGTCCCTGCTCTGTGTCGGTTCTTATGTGAATCACCCTATATTTCATCTTCCATTGTGTAACCTAATTGGACCGTGTTATGCTGCATCACTTGACTTAGTGACAAATGAATAATGTTGAGAAACACGGGACTTTCGTTTTCATCTCTCTAAAAATAAAAGACTTCTCTGAATAGACGCTCAGAAAATAATCTAGAGCTTGATTTTGTACTTTTAAACTGGTTTTTATTTTATATACAATTTAAGTCTAACCAGTTTCGGCCCTTGGCCATCTTCAGAGACTCTACAAATAGATTAACATCTTTCATCTTATCCATTTTACAAACAGGTTTCTTAATATTTCTTTTTGTTTTGTTAAAAAAGATCACATATCAAAGTCGAAATCACATTATTAGTTACTAATTTACAAAATTAAAGTTTAAAAAGTTATTACAAGTTTCTTTTTTAACAAACGAAATATTAAGAAATTTGGGAAAAATTCAAGAATCATCATCATGTGGTTTAAAAATCGACGATTTTTTTTAATCGATGTGAAATGACCCCAAAAACACGTCAAAAATAAAAAGAAAGTGCGGAAAAGTGACTAACACTAAATTAACTTCAGTTATAAAACTTCTTTTATATGATAACTATCTTCAGGTTTAAAATGTCAACCTCAATTTTGACATATTTGCAATCTTCATTAAAAATCCTTTAAAATGAGTACAAACACGACATATTTATCTTCAATATTAATGAAGTTATGGTCAACTTCCGGTTAAGAATGTCAACGTCAATTTTGACATATTTGTAATCGTCGTGAAAAATCCTTTAAAATGAGTCCAAACATGATACGTTTAATTCCAATATTACTCGAGATATAAGCAACTTCCGGTTTGAAATGTCAATGTCATTTTGACATATTCAGTTATAAAACTTCTATTATATGATAACTAACTTCAGATTTAAAATGTCAACCTCAATTTGACATATTTGTAATCTTCATTAAAAATCCTTTAAAATGAGTACAAACACGATATATTCATCTTCAATATTAATGAAGTTATGTTCAACTTCCGGTTAAAAATGTCAACGTCAATTTAGACATATTTGTAATTGGGCTTAATGCCAATATTATTCGAGATATAAGCAACTTCCGGTTTGAAATGTCAATGTCATTTTGACATATTCAATTATAAAACTTATATTATATGATAACTAACTTCAGGTTTAAAATGTCACCCTCAATTTTGAGATATTTGTAATCTTTATTAAAAATCCTTTAAAATGAGTACAAACACGATATATTCATCTTCAATATTAATGAAGTTATGTTCAACTTCCGGTTAAAAATGTCAACGTCAATTTTGACATATTTGTAATTGGGTTTAATGCCAATATTATTCGAGATATAAGCAACTTCCGGTTTGAAATGTCAATGTCATTTTGACATATTCTTAATTTTTATAAAATGTCTTAATATTTGTCACAAAAACAAAAATATAAAAAAAAAAAATAAAAAATTAAGGTTGGTATTAATATTTAAAAATTAAATTGCTATCTTCATTGTTGCTAACTTCGGGTTTAACGTTTTTTATTCTAACTTTTTTGTTTTTTGAGATAAGTGCGTCATCTTTGGACTCATTTTAAAGGTTTTTTAATGAAGATGACAAATATGTCAAAATTGACGTTGACGTTTCAAACCGGAAGTGATTGTATTTCCATTAATATTAAAGTTAAATATGTCGAGTTTGGACTCACTTTAAAGCTTATTTTATGAAGATTACAAATATAATAATAAAATTAAAGTTGACATTGACAACTAACTTTAGGTTTAATGTTTTTTATTCAAACTTTTTTGTTTTTTGAGATAAGTGCGTCATCTTTGGACTCTTTTTAAAGGTTTTTTAATGAAGATGACAAATATGTTAAAATTGACGTTGACGTTTCAAACCGGAAGTGATTGTATTTCCATTAATATTAAAGTTAAATATGGCGAGTTTGGACTCATTTTACAGGATTTTTTATGAAGTTGACAAATATGTTAAAATTTAAATTTGATAGTTCGAACTTTTTGAGATAAATGCGTCAAGTTTGGACTCACAAAAAAAAAAAAAAGCTTATTTTATGAAGATTACAGATATAATAATAAAATTAAAGTTGACATTGACAACTCTTCCTGAATATTTTTAGTTTTCGTGCTAGTCCAGACAGCATGAAAATCGTTAAAAACGATAAAATGTCGCTTAATCAAGTGATGTATAACTCGGTCCAATGGTCTTTAAATTTAATTATTTTATTATTAGATTCCAGCACAAATAAAAGCTATTATGGAAAAAGCTTGTAAAGAAGCAGATTCTAAAAATCAAGAACTATTTTTCGATATATGTTTAAGTTCGATGGCTATGGAAATGACAAATGGTTTTTCTGCAATAGGCCAAAAGCTTTTCCTTCAACTTTTAGCATTAAACAATCCAAAAATAGTGATAGCAAACATTTCTAAAAGTATCAGCTTAAGAACGTCATATCAAAACAGACAAAATGTTGGCCTATCAATTTTATGGGCGCTAGGAATGGGTGGTCTCAAAGACCTGAACGTCGGTTTCAAAGTGTTCCAAGAAATTATGTTTCCCCTCATCGAAATGAAAAATTATTCGCGTTTTATATGCGGCTACCTCATCGATCTCATCAACCGATTTAACGATGTACCTCTTTCAAAGGAACAGTACCAATTTGTGATGGAATATATTTATTCGAATAAAAAAAATTCGCCGCTCGATCTCAGCGCGCAAATACAAAAACAAAAATTGAAAGAACTTCTTTTTATAAACAGCAAAGATAAATATCACGGTTTCGTCGAATTTTTCTTAAAGAAGCTTACAATAAGAGAGTCGGATTCCTATCGAAACGAACTTTGCGATGTTATTATAGCTTGTTTAATTCGAGATCCAACTACATTTAATGTATGGACGAAACATTATAGTAAAAATCTTGTTGGTAGTGCTATATTATTAAATTATATTGGTAGGTTTATCTTGTTAATTTAATGTTGTGGTTTCCAAACGAATCTTGTTATATTTATGTCATTTAAATAGATTAAAATGTGAGAAAGTGTTAAAATTAAATTTTTTAAAGAAATATGGTAACATAAAGTTTCGAAATCACTAATTAGCTTAATTGTGGGGTTTTTGGGTTTTAAATGAATTTTTAATTTATTTCCAGATGCTAATTGGACTAGATTTCGAAAGAACTTTGGTAGAAAAGTACTTAATGATGTTTTGATTAGTTTTTCTGTTACAAATGAGGATTTAATGACCAAGAAAAAGAAGGATGAAGGATTAATTGATGCTATGGATGAGATCGAGGTAAATGTTTTTTATTATGTTTTAAAGTCTGAATGTTTCTGACAATTTCTGCCGCAATCTTCAGTTTGCGACAATGATTACTGACACAGTTGGTTCCTTCTTTGTTCCTAACATCTATTAAAGACCCTCCAAATTTATTGCTCAGTGCTATGTGGTCTATTTGGTTCTTTACAGCGGTGTTATTCGATACCCAATGCCAGTTGTTTTGTTGGAACAGAGTACCATCAATCATAAGGTCATAGCTGGGGCAGAAAATCCATTTCCATTCATTTCTCTAATTCCATGCGTTCCCATAACATGTTCTAACCCTTCTATAAATGATTGTGGTTTAAGTACATCCTTATCGTTTGTCTCTGACATGTTTTTTCACAACAGTTATCAGAATTTTTTTATTATGTTATAAAGTCTAAATTATTTCTGCCACAATCTGCAGTTCGTGACAACAATGAACTGCATCTGGTCGCTGACGCAGTCGGTTCCTCGCTTGTTCCTAACATCCATTACAGACTCTCTAAACTTCTTGCTCAGTGCTATATGGTAAATTTGGTTCTCTACAGCGGTGTCATTTGATACTCAATGCCAGTTCTTATGTTGGAGCAGAGTACCATCAATCATAAGGTCATAGCTGGGGCAGAAAATCCATTTCCATTCATTTCTCCAATTCCATGCGTTCCCATAACATGTTCTAACCCTTCTATAAATGATTGTGGTTTAAGTACATTCTTATCGTTTGTCTCTGACATGTTTTTTCACAACAGTTATCAGATTTTTTTTATTCTGTTTTAATTTCTAAATTTTTTCTGACAATTTCTGCCACAATCTGCAATTTGTGACAACAATGTAGTGGTCACTGACTTAGTCGGTTCCTCGTTTGTTCCTAACATCCATTAAAGACTCTCTAAACTTCTTGCTCAGTGCTATATGGTAAATTTGGTTCTCTACAGCGGTGTCATTTGATACTCAATGCCAGTTCTTATGTTGGAGCAGAGTACCATCAATCATAAGGTCATAGCTGGGGCAGAAAATCCATTTCCATTCATTTCTCCAATTCCATGCGTTCCCATAACATGTTCTAACCCTTCTATAAATGATTGTGGTTTAAGTACATTCTTATCGTTTGTCTCTGACATGTTTTTTCACAACAGTTATCAGAATTTTTTTATTATGTTATAAAGTCTAAATTATTTCTGCCACAATCTGCAGTTCGTGACAACAATGAACTGCATCTGGTCGCTGACGCAGTCGGTTCCTCGCTTGTTCCTAACATCCATTACAGACTCTCTAAACTTCTTGCTCAGTGCTATATGGTAAATTTGGTTCTCTACAGCGGTGTCATTTGATACTCAATGCCAGTTCTTATGTTGGAATAGAGTACCATCAATCATAAGGTCATAGCTGGCGCAGAAAATCCATTTGCATTAATTTCTCCAATTCCATGGGTTCCCAAAACATGTTCTAACCCTTCTGTAAATGATTGTGCTTTAAGTACATTCTTATCGTTTGTCTCTGACATGTTTTTTCACAACAGTTATCAGAAATTTTTTATTATGTTTTAAAGTGTAAACTTTTTCTGACAATTTCTGCCACAATTTGCAGTTTGTGACAACAATGTAGTGGTCACTTACTTAGTCAGTTCTTCGTTTGTTTCTAACATCCATTAAAGTCTCTCTAAACTTCTTGCTCAGTGCTATATGGTAAATTTGGTTCTCTACAGCGGTGTCATCTGATACCCAATGCCAATTCTTATGTTGGAACAGAGTACTATCAATCATAAGGTCATAGCTGGCGCAGAAAATCCATTGCCATTCATTTCTCCAATTCCATGCGTTCCCATTACATGTTCTAACCCTTCTGTAAATGGTTGTGGTTTAAGTACATTCTTATAGTTTGTCTCTGACATGTTTTTTCACAACAGTTATCAGAAATTTTTTATTATGTTTTAAAGTCTAATTTTTTTCTGACAATTTCTGCCACAATCTGCAGTTTGTGACACCAATGTAGTGGTGACTGACTTAGTCGGTTCCTCGTTTGTTCCTAACATCCATTAAAGACCCTCTAAACTTCTTGCTCAGTGCTATATGGTAAATTTGGTTCTCTACAGCTGTGTCATTTGATACTCAATGCCAGTTCTTATGTTGGAGCAGATTACTATCAATCATAAGGTCATAGCTGGGGCAGAAAATCCATTTCCATTCATTTCTCCAATTCCATGCGTTCCCATAACATGTTCTAACCCTTCTATAAATGATTGTGGTTTAAGTACATTCTTATCGTTTGTCTTTGACATGTTTTTTCACAACAGTTATTAGAATTATTTATTCTGTTTTAAATTTCTAAATTTTTTCTGACAATTTCTGCCACAATCTGCAATTTGTGACAACAATGTAGCGGTCACTGACGCAGTCGGTTCCTCGTTTGTTCCTAACATCCATTAAAGACCCTCTAAACTTCTTGCTCAGTGCTATATGGTAAATTTGGTTCTCTACAGCTGTGTCATTTGATACTCAATGCCAGTTCTTATGTTGGAGCAGAGTACCATCAATCATAAGGTCATAGCTGGGTAGAAAATCCATTTCCATTCATTTCTCAAATTCCATGCCTTCCCATAACATGTTCTAACCCTTCTGTAAATGATTGTGGTTTAAGTACATCCTTATCGTTTGTCTCTGACATGTTTTTTCACAACAGTTATCAGAATTTTTTTATTATATTATAAAGTCTAAATTTTTTTTAACAATTTCTGCCACAATCTGCAGTTCGTGACAACAATGAACTGCATCTGGTCGCTGACGCAGTCGGTTCCTCGCTTGTTCCTAACATCCATTACAGACTCTCTAAACTTCTTGCTCAGTGCTATATGGTAAATTTGGTTCTCTACAGCGGTGTTATTTGATACCCAATGCCAGTTCTTATGTTGGAACAGAGTACCATCAATAATAAGATCATAGCTGGCGCAGAAAATCTATTTCCATTCATTTCTCCAATTCCATGCGTTCCCATTACATGTTCTAACCCTTCTGTAAATGATGTTGGTTTAAGTAGATTCTTGTCGTTTGTCTCTGACATCTTTTTTCACAACAGTTATCAGAATTTTTTTATTAAGTTTGAAAGGCTAAATTTTTTCTGACAATTTGTGCCACAATCTGCAATTTGTGACAACAATGTAGTGGTCACTGACTTAGTCGGTTCCTCGTTTGTTCCTAACATCCATTAAAGACTCTCTAAACTTCTTGCTCAGTGCTATATGGTAAATTTGGTTCTCTACAGCGGTGTCATTTGATACTCAATGCCAGTTCTTATGTTGGAACAGAGTACCATCAATAATAAGATCATAGCTGGCGCAGAAAATCTATTTCCATTCATTTCTCCAATTCCATGCGTTCCCATAACATATTCTAACCCTTCTGTAAATTAATGTGGTTTAAATACATTGTTATCGTTTGTCTCTGACATGTTTTTTCACAACAGTTATCAGAAATTTTTTATTATGTTTTAAAGTCTAAATTTTTTCTGACAATTTCTGCCACAATCTGCAGCTTGTGACAAGAATGTAGTGGTCACTGACTTAGGCGGTTCCTCGTTTGTTCCTAACATCCATTACAGACTCTAAACTTCTTGCTCACTGCTATATGGTAAATTTGGTTCTCTACAGCGGTATCATTCGATACCCAATGCCAGTTCTTATGTTAGAACAGAGTACCATCAATCATAAGGTCATAGCTGGCGCAGAAAATCCATTCCCATTCATTTCTCCAATTCCATGCGTTCCCATAACATGTTCTAACCCTTCTGTAAATGATTGTGGTTTAAGTACAGTCTTATCGTTTGTCTCTGACATGTTTTTTCACAACAGTTATCAGAATTTTTTTATTATGTTTTAAAGTCTAAATTTTTTCTGACAATTTGTGACAACAATGTAGTGGTCACTGACGCAGTCGGTTCCTCGTTTGTTCCTAACATCCATTAAAGACTCTCTAAACTTCTTGCTCAGTGCTATATGGTAAATTTGGTTCTCTACAGCGGTGTCATTTGATACTCAATGCCAGTTCTTATGTTGGAACAGAGTACCATCAATCATAAGGTCATAGCTGGCGCAGAAAATCCATTCCCATTCATTTCTCCAATTCCATGCGTTCCCATAACATGTTCTAACCCTTCTGTAAATGATTGTGGTTTAAGTACAGTCTTATCGTTTGTCTCTGACATGTTTTTTCACAACAGTTATCAGAATTTTTTTATTATGTTTTAAAGTCTAAATTTTTTCTGACAATTTGTGACAACAATGTAGTGGTCACTGACGCAGTCGGTTCCTCGTTTGTTCCTAACATCCATTAAAGACTCTCTAAACTTCTTGCTCAGTGCTATATGGTCTATTTGGTTCTCTACAGCGGTGTTATTTAATACTCAATGCCAGTTCTTATGTTGGAGCAGAGTACCATCAATCATAAGGTCATAGCTAGCGCAGAAAATCCATTTCCATTTATTTCTCCAATTCCATGCGTTCCCATTACATGTTCTAACCCTTCTGTAAATGATTGTGGTTTAAGTACATTCTTATCGTTTGTCTCTGACATGTTTTTTCACAACAGTTATCAGAATTTTTTTATTATGTTTTAAAGTCTAAATTTTTTCTGACAATTTCTGCCACAATCTGCAGTTCGTGACAACAATGAACTGCATCTGGTCGCTGACGCAGTCGGTTCCTCGCTTGTTCCTAACATCCATTACAGACTCTCTAAACTTCTTGCTCAGTGCTATATGGTAAATTTGGTTCTCTACAGCGGTGTTATTTGATACCCAATGCCAGTTCTTATGTTGGAACAGAGTACCATCAATAATAAGATCATAGCTGGCGCAGAAAATCTATTTCCATTCATTTCTCCAATTCCATGCGTTCCCATTACATGTTCTAACCCTTCTGTAAATGATGTTGGTTTAAGTAGATTCTTGTCGTTTGTCTCTGACATCTTTTTTCACAACAGTTATCAGAATTTTTTTATTAAGTTTGAAAGGCTAAATTTTTTCTGACAATTTATGCCACAATCTGCAATTTGTGACAACAATGTAGTGGTCACTGACTTAGTCGGTTCCTCGTTTGTTCTTAATATCCATTAAACACTCTCTAAACTTCTTGCTCAGTGCTAAATGGAAAATTTGGTTCTCTACAGCGGTGTCATCTGATACCCAATGCTAGTTCTTATGTTGGAACAGAGTACCATCAATCATAAGGTCATAGCTGGCGCAGAAAATCAATTTCTATTCATTTCTCCAATTCCATGCGTTCCCATAACATGTTCTAACCCTTCTGTAAATGATTGCGGTTTAAGTACATTCTTATCGTTTGTCTCTGACATGTTTTTCCACAAAAGTTATTAGAATTTTTTTATTGTGTTTTAAATTTCTAAATTTTTTCTGACAATTTCTGCCACAATCTGCAATTTGTGACAACAATGTAGTGGTCACTGACTTAGTCGGTTCCTCGTTTGTTCCTAACATCCATTAAAGACTCTCTAAACTTCTTGCTCAGTGCTATATGGTAAATTTGGTTCTCTACAGCGGTGTCATTTGATACTCAATGCCAGTTCTTATGTTGGAGCAGAGTACCATCAATCATAAGGTCATAGCTGGGGTAGAAAATCCATTTCCATTCATTTCTCCAATTCCATGCGTTCCCATAACATGTTCTAACCCTTCTGTAAATGATTGTGGTTTAAGTACATTCTTATCGTTTGTCTCTGACATGTTTTTTCACAACAGTTATCAGAATTTTTTTATTATGTTTTAAAGTCTAAATTTTTTCTAACAATTTCTGCCACAATCTGCAGTTCGTGACAACAATGAACTGCATCTGGTCGCTGACGCAGTCGGTTCCTCGCTTGTTCCTAACATCCATTACAGACTCTCTAAACTTCTTGCTCAGTGCTATATGGTAAATTTGGTTGTGTATAGCGGTGTCATTTGATACCCAATGCCAGTTCTTATGTTGGAGCAGAGTACCATCAATCATAAGGTCATAGCTGGGGTAGAAAATCTATTTCCATTCATTTCTCCAATTCCATGCGTTCCCATAACATGTTTTAACCCTTCTATAAATGATTGTGGTTTAAGTATATTCTTATCGTTTGTCTCTGACATGTTTTTTACATCAGTTATCAGAATTTTTTATTAAGTTTTAGAGTCTAAATTTTTTCTGACAATTTCTGCCACAATCTGCAATTTGTGACAACAATGTAGTGGTCACTGACGCAGTCGGTTCCTCGTTTGTTCCTAACATCCATTAAACACTCTCTAAGCTTCTTGCTCAGTGCTATATGGTAAATTTGGTTCTCTACAGCGGTGTCATTTGATACTCAATGCCAGTTCTTATGTTGGAGCAGAGTACCATCAATCATAAGGTCATAGCTGGGGTAGAAAATCCATTTCCATTCATTTCTCAAATTCCATGCCTTCCCATAACATGTTCTAACCCTTCTGTAAATGATTGTGGTTTAAATACATTCTCATCGTTTGTCTCTGACATGTTTTTTCACAACAGTTATCAGAATTTTTTTATTATGTTTTAAAGTCTAAATTTTTTCTGACAATTTCTGCCACAATTTGCAATTTGTGACAACAATGTAGTGGTCACTGACGCAGTCGGTTCCTCGTTTGTTCCTAACATCCATTAAAGACTCTCTAAACTTCTTGCTCAGTGCTATATGGTCTATTTGGTTCTTTACAGCGGTGTTATTTGATACTCAATGCCAGTTCTTATGTTGGAACAGAGTACCATCAATCATAAGGTCATAGCTGGCGCAGAAAATCCATTTCCATTGATTTCTCCAATTCCATGGGTTCCCATAACATGTTCTAACCCTTCTGTAAATGATTGTGGTTTAAGTACAGTCTTATCGTTTGTCTCTGACATGTTTTTTCAAACAGTTATCAGAATTTTTTATTATGTTTTAAAGTCTAAATTTTTTCTGACAATTTCTGCCACAATCTGCAATTTGTGACAACAATGTAGTGGTCACTGACTTAGTCGGTTCCTCGTTTGTTCCTAACATCCATTAAAGACTCTCTAAACTTCTTGCTCAGTGCTATATGGTAAATTTTGTTCACTATAGCGGTGTCATTTGATACTCAATTCCAGTTCTTATGTTGGAGCAGAGTACCATCAATCATAAGGTCATAGCTGGGGCAGAAAATCAATTTCCATTCATTTCTCCAATTCCATGCGTTTCCATAACATGTTCTAACCCTTCTGTAAATGATTGTGGTTTAAGTACATTCTTATCGTTTGTCTCTGACATGTTTTTTCACAACAGTTATCAGATTTTTTTTATTCTGTTTTAATTTCTAAATTTTTTCTGACAATTTCTGCCACAATCTGCAATTTGTGACAACAATGTAGTGGTCACTGACTTAGTCGGTTCCTCGTTTGTTCTTAACATCCATTAAACACTCTCTAAACTTCTTGCTCAGTGCTATATGGTAAATTTGGTTCTCTGCAGCGGTGTCATTTGATACTCAATGCCAGTTCTTATGTTGGAGCAGAGTACCATCAATCATAAGGTCATAGCTGGGGCAGAAAATCCATTTCCATTCATTTCTCCAATTCCATGCGTTCCCATAACATGTTCTAACCCTTCTGTAAATGATTGTGGTTTAAGTACATCCTTATCGTTTGTCTCTGACATGTTTTTTCATAACAGTTATTAGAATTTTTGTATTATGTTTTAAAGTCTAAATTTTTTCTGACAATTTCTGCCACAATCTGCAGTTTTTGACAACAATGTAGTGGTCACTGACTTAGTCGGTTTCTCGTTTGTTCCTAACATCCATTAAAGACTCTCTACACTTCTTGCTCAGTGCTATATGGTCTATTTGGTTCTCTACAGCGGTGTCATTCGATACCCAATGCCAGTTCTTATGTTGGAACAGAGTACCATCAATCATAAGGTCATAGCTGGCGCAGAAAATCCATTTCCATTCATTTCTCCAATTCCATAACATGTTCTAGCCCTTCGTTGCACGCCTCCACGTTTGCATTAATATCTCCCATAACAATCAAGATTCAAGTTTCATGAAAACCATTTTCTGTTCAATATCTAAGGTTTCTGTAAATAATATTGATATTTCGTACCTTCGTCTTAAAATGGGCTGTCGTTATTCTCTCTGAAATGGGTCGCCACTTTAAGAGACCAAATACAGAAACGAATTAAGAATTTTTTTTGCAAAAACTTTAAATACACCACTGTATTAAGCGTCCTTTGAAATGGGTAATATACAAATGTTATGAGGGCTAGAATGAAGGCTATAAATGATTGAATTCATTAAAAACATCACCTTTAACATCGTTATATTAATAACGAATCATCTCTAATTAAAAGAATCGTTTATTATTCGCAATTATTACCATTTATGGCAGTTAAAATGCGCGCGTTATTTAAATACGCATGTGCAAAGTTTCGACGAAGAATTCCGAGACCCAATCGTATTTCAAATCGGATAATTGGTCGATATCTTTTCATTCGAGCGAGACTAAACGAAAGCGAAAACATCACCGTTTTAAACTCGACAATTTCTATCGCAAAAAAAAATAAAAACTTTCTAAACATTTCTATTCGATTTCCTAGTTGATTGACAGGTAAGTTTTTAATTAAGTAGGCGTTTTCATTTCGCGTTTTGTTTCTCTAATACGATGACAACCGTTTGACGTTAATTTTTTCTGCGTTTGCGAATATTTTTAAACGCATTTTACCACTTATATACTTAAGAATGTACGGTTTTTAGAAAATCCGTGGGAAAATGGCACGAAAGAAGACCAGTGGATTCCCGTATAAAGCGCTCATTTTCTTGACGGTTTTTGTTTCGGGGGTCATCGTCGTTTATGACATCAGAAGAAACGGTAATAAATGGGAAAGAAGTACGACTTACAATACATTAAAACAGTGGAAAGTTGACGAATACCTCAATGTTGCTGGTGATAAAGTGATTGAAGGTGCGAATTGGGCCCATGGGAAGTTCCAAGAGAAATTTCCTGGATACACTGAAAAGGCTGTTGAATATTCAGAGCCTTATTTAGAATTAACCAAAGAATTTGGGAAGTTCTTTTGCAATGCCTGTGCAGGACTGAAGGAATTAATTGTAGAAAAATACCCTATTTTTGTGGAATCTGTAAGTTTTTGTTTTTATTTAGTTGATTTATTAATATTTGTCTTATTGATTTGCAGATTGAGACTTATGCACCTGGATTAATAGAGCAATCTTCAAAAACAATGGAAAATGTTTGGTCCACATCCGTGTTATATTTTAATAGAAGTGTAGATTATTTAAAGCAAGAAGTTTTTGTGTAAGTTTTATTATTTCAGCTTTATCTAATTTGAGTATTTTTAAAAATAATGTTTATTTAAGCCATATTTAACTTATCACTTCTTTTGATATCAGAATTTCTTTATGTCAGCAATTACTGATAACGTTATTAATTAATTTTAGTGGTCAATTAGCACCAGAAAATGTCCAAAAACTCGTCATAGAAGCACTGAATACAACACAACAGAAGGCCAGTGAATATTATTATTGGTTGTATGAAAAAGTCCAAAGTACAATTAAATGAGAAACATAAAATTTAAGAATGAAAACTAAAAAAAGTGTTTCTATTATTATTTTTCTTCTAATTTATACAATTTTTGATCTTCATGAAAGTCTTATAGAAGCGTATAGAGCATGTATCTTCTTTTTTAATTTTTAATGTTGTTTTTCTTTATTTTCTTTTTCTTTGCTTTTTTGTATGTGGTAATGTGTCGGTTATGGATCTAGAATTTACTCAAAATGAAAACCTAAATTGCCAAACTAATGATTATCTAATGAAAATAGTTGTATTCAATTATTTACAGAGTGTACATTCCCATTTTTTTTCCAAAACATTCAATTCAATAGTGTGTAAGAATATTTGTTAAATAAAAAATCTTTTTAATTAAAAATCATTGTTTTATTTTTATTTATAAGTAAATATGATTTAGAAGCAATCAAAAATGAAGAAGAAAGTGTAGCATAAAATTTTTAATCCATACAAAAAATAGTTATTGGATTTCAAACAAATTAATTAGAAGAAGTAAAATGAAAAGTCACGTTTACACAGTGTAATTTTTCAACGCTATTTTTTATTGGTAGTTTTAAAACCACAGAGGATTTTTAGTAAACTAGTTACGAATTTAATTACTTATTTGTTTAAACATAATAAAAACTAGGGGGTACCCACTTACTTTGTCCCACATAAAATGCAATGTGTCAATATAATTGATATTACACTAAAACTTCAATATAACGGATTAATGGAAGGCAGTGTCCATTATAGCTCAATAAAAATATACAATACTCTAGCGCTGCATAACAAATAAAACTAAAGTAATAGCAGCACTAGACCTGAAAACATTTCGTTTAGCTGTACAGGATGGTTCAAATTCGATGTCCGAATATTCTATCTCAGAAACTAGAAGAGCTAGAAAAAAAGTAGCTTTCATGTCTTGATCTCTTTTTTTAAATAAGTTCCAATGTCGAAAACCTCAAAACGCTATCGTCTTTTGTTTTTCCCCTAGAGGCCAAAATTGAAAATATCGTAAAACCAGCAAGTGCAATTATCTTGGTTATTATTATAGCTGGAGTATTATAACTAAGACATTATATGGACACTTTATTACAGAGAATTTGATGACGTAGTCAAAAAAATTTTTTCGGTTTTAGATTTTGAGATATTATCACAATGTTCGTTTTTTTAAATGGAAATAACCACTGATTATTCGCTTATTAAATTCGTTATTTTTTTCTGATTATAAAAATATAGGGTTTGACAGGTCTATTTCTTATTGTTTTAGAATAAAGCTAAAAATTAACTTTTCTTTTAGTGTCTTCCAAGTAATTAAATTTACAGTTTCCTGTAAATTACGGTACTATAATAATTAAAAATTAAAAAAACATATTTCTGATATTTGAAACAAATATATTTGTTTCAAATATCGTTAATATGTTTTTTAATTTTTAGTTATAATTTACAGGAAACTGTAAATTTAATTTCTTTGACGACACCAAAAAAAAGTTTATTTTTAGCTTTATTCCAAAACAATAAGAAATAGACCTATCTAACCCCATATTTTTGTAATCAGAAAAAAATAACGAATTTAATAAGCGAACAATGAGTGGTTGTTTCCATTTAAAAAAACGAAAATTGTCACAATATCTCAAAATCTAAAACCGCAAAAATTTTTTTAATTACGTCATCAAATTCTCTGCAAAAAAGTGCCCATATAATGTCTTAATTATAATACTCCACCTATAATAATAACCAAGATAATTGCACTTGCTGGTTTTACGATATTTTCAATTTTGGCCTCTAGGAGAAAAACAAAAGACGGTAGCGCTTTGAGGTTTTTGGCACTACTCGAAAAACGAGATCATGACATGTAAGCTACTTTTTTTCTAGCTCTTATAGTTTCCGAGATAGCCTATTCGGACATCGAATTTGAACCACCCTGTACAGGTAAACGTCGTTTTGCGCCGGTTTGGTTTACGCCGATTCACAATTACGCCGGTTGGTGCCGGCGTGGGATTCCCCGGTTCGCCTGACATCAGACGACAATAAAAAAATATAGAGGAAATGGAAAAAATGTTAGCATTGTGGGTTGATGATGCCAATCAAAAGAATATTCCTGTAACACAAGCAATCAAAAAGCACTGTTGATTTTTTCTGATTTGAAGGCGCAAGAAATCACTGACGAAACTTTCTTGGCAAGCACTGGGTGCTTCACCAGATTCAAATGTCGAACCAATATCCGTTCAAACCTCGAGCGGCGAGCGCTGATGTAGCAGCAGCTTACCTTTAAAAGTTTCAAGAAATTGTGGAACAAGGGAACTACCTTGCAGATCTCATCTTCAATTTTGATGAAACAGGCCTCTATTGGAAGAAGTTACCATTGAGAACATTTATTTCGCGAGAAGAACGTAGTGCTTGTGGATTTAAAGCCGCCAAGGATAGACTGACTGTTCTCTTGGAATCAAATATTTCTGGTTCTTTAAAACTTAAGCCAATGGTAGTGTACTATTCCCAGAATCCATGGGCATTTAGAGGTCTTAACAAAAGCTAAGAGGGACGAAGTGACAAACAATTGTTTAAACGGCGTTTGGTGTAAGCTTCTTCCTGGATTTATACAAGGTGCAAGTGTAGAAGTGGTAAATAACATTAACATAAACGAAGACATTATCAGGTTTACACGCGAATGTGGATTCGAAGACGTAACAACTGAAGATGTGACCGGACTGTTAGACGTACATGAATAACCAATCTCAAATCAAGAATTAGAAGAGTTGATGGAGGCATATGATCGCCCTCAATCAGAAAATCCCGAAGAAGAAGAGGAGGATGAGAAAGAAAATGATAGGAAAATCCTAAAAACGGACTATCTAACTCGTATCATTTCCTCTATAGAAAGGTTAACAGGTGAGCTCTGTGACATAGATGGGGATTACAATCGAAGCGCAAATGTTGAAAGAAGTGTCATAGCTGCCCTTCGACCTTATGCTATGATTCTGCAAGAAAGGAAGCAACAATAAAAGCAAATGAAACTGGATGCTCTTTTCAAAAAAGTGTGAGACTTTAATTTAGTACCGACGAACTAGTGTGTTAGTATTTATTTCAAAAAATTCATTATTTATATCAAGAGATTATTATTTATTTTGAATATATATAGGATATATATTAAATAAACCAAAGAAATTGTATAACTAGAAGCACATATAAACACCAAGAGTTGAAGCCAGCGTTCGATGTGTTATGTTTACGTTTTCACTCATTGTCAGTCCAGAATGGGACGCGCTCAGATCGGACCGTCCGGCCGACGATCACCGAGTATTTCCGAACAGGCCAATCTTTTTATGGTTTCTTTGAAAATAAATTTACCTGATTAATGTTTATCCATGTTTACCGAACCCTAATAAATGAATAATTCTCTCCTAAGTAAACAAGGCTTGTGTGCGCATTTGTGTTTTGGCTTTGGCGAAGTTAACATTTTAGTAGTTCCGTAGTTTTTAGACTATAAGACACCTTTTTAGATAGAAAAATGGACTCAATTTTGGGTGCGTTTTCTGGTCCGAAGGTTCCATTAAAATATATTTTTCAATAAATCGTCTTTAAATTTGAGGTGCGTCTTATAGTCCAAAAAATATAGTATATTTTTCTGAAAAAAGATATTCAAAATGATTACAGTTTTCCTAATGATAGAAAAAAAAATTATATTTAACTATAAATTGTCATAAAACTATTTAAGGATTTTTTTAGTGCAGTTAGGCGACGTTGTTGGTATTGTAACAATCCTACTGCACTACAATTTGAACAAGAATACAAAAAACTATTAGTACATACCGGCAGTAAAGGGCATGAGATTATACTAATATTTTAAATTGTTCATTAACACTCAAAAATAAAAATGATGAAATTGAAACACTGGACAATATAGACGTTGCGAACTTAGACAACATGCATTTAACTATCTACTATTTTCTAAAAACTAATATTACTTGTCAATTTTGTTTAAATATAGTAGAAGGAACTAGTAATATTTCAATGCTATAGATACAAAAGACATATGGGATTTATGACTAAAGCTTTTGAGTTTGTAGTCAAACTTTACTTAAATAGAGAAAAAATTATTAGAGACTATAAACGACAAAATGTATTATTCAATAACAAGAACATACTTTTAAAGTTAATAAAATTCCATTTTATTAAGTTTGCCTCAAAACATTTATGATCTTTTTGGAGATCATGCGTATGATGATGCATGTTATTGATGGGCATGAAATATAATGTATAATAATATATTATTAATATAAAAAATAAATATAAAATTATTAATATTTTGTTATTATTAATATAATTAATAATAACAAAATTTATTTACGTAAAGATATTTAGTGAAACCAAGTTAATAAATCAAGACCCTAGGCTTTGACATATGTTAAGCAAACAAATATTATTTTCAAATCAATGAGAGTTATTTTAAAACTTATATTTATGAGTTAAGTTTTTTGTTATGTAATAAAAATTTTTAAACAAAATACCAATGTTATTTGCAAATACAATATTTTTACTTCAATATTTACCATGAAAGTACTGTAAAATTTTAATTATATCAGCTTTAATTTACTTGTAAGAAATAAACTGTTCACAATTTATACGGTTACAATTATAAATTAATTAATTACAAAAGAACTGTCCTTAATAAACATTTCAACCATGCTCAATAAAAAGAAATAATGGTAATATATATTTCTTCATGTACGCCACTGTGTATGTCTGCTTTTACCGAAACTATACACGCCACTGTCAGTGGGACCAATACCAAAACAAACACTTGAACGTTGGCTTCAATCTCGTATACGGGCGGAGATAGGCAATGCTACTTCTAGTTATACAATTTCTTTGAAATAAACATAACAGGAACCTAACCTTATACCGTCCATTATATTTGTGTTCATTTTACGCCGATTTTGTTTACGACGGTGTCTCTAAACGGCGTAAAACGACGTTTACCTGTAACTCTCTTAAGACGGCTGGTAAAATATCATGTTGCATATTTTTTTGAACTAAAACTAGAACTAACACTAACACAAGACCTAAAACTAGAATCATTCGGGTTTAGCCGTCTTGAGAGACGTGCGGCTAAATCCGAATGTTTCTAGTTCTCGGTCTAGTGTTAGTATTAGCATTTCACTAGCACTATCACTAGAACTAACACAAGACCTAGAACTAGAATCATTCGGGTTTAGCCGCCTTGAGAGACGTGCGGCTAAATCCGAATGTTTCTAGTTCTCGGTCTCTAGTGTTAGTTGTAGTGGCAGTGATAGTCTGAAGACGCACGGCTAAACCCGAACATTTCTAGTTCTAGGTCTAGTGTTAGTTCTAGTTTTACACTAGCACTGACACTAGAACTAACACAAGACCTAGAACTAGAATCATTCGGGTTTAGCCGTCTTGAGAGACGTGCGGCTAAATCCGAATGTTTCTAGTTCTCGGTCTAGTGTTAGTTTTAGTTTTTCACTAGCACTATCACTAGAACTAACACAAGACCTAGAACTAGAATCATTCGGGTTTAGCCGTCTTGAGAGACGTGCGGCTAAATCCGAATGTTTCTAGCTCTCGGTCTAGTGTTAGTTCTAGCATTTCACTAGCCCTATCACTAGAACTAGGACCAGACCTAGAACTAGAATCATTCGGGTTTAGCTGTCTTGAGAGACGTGCGGCTAAATCCGAATGTTTCTAGTTCTCGGTCTCTAGTGTTAGTTGTAGTAGCAGTGATAGTCTGAAGATGCACGGCTAAACCCGAACATTTCCAGTTCTAGTGTTAGTTCTAGTTTTACACTAGCACTGACACTAGAACTAACACAAGACCTAGAACTAGAATCATTCGGGTTTAGCCATCTTGAGAGACGTGCGACTAAATCCGAATGTTTCTAGTTCTCAGTCTAGTGTTAGTTCTAGTTTTACACTAGCACTGTCACTAGAACTAAGACAAGACCTAGAATCATTCGGGTTTAGCCGTCTTGAGAGACGTGCAGGTAAATCCGAATGTTTCTTGTTGTAGGTCTAGTGTTAGTTCTAGTTTTACACTAGAACTGTCACTAGAACTAAGACAAGACCTAGAACTAGAATCATTCGGGTTTAGTCATACTGAGAGACGTGCGAATATTTCTAGGCGACCGGCAACATCTCGAATTTTCCTAATGTAGTTTTTGCTTTTTTTAAAGTGACCAATAGCAACCCTTTTTTTTGGCGCTTCAATTTGAAAACACTCCTCCAAATTAAAATATAGAGTATAGGCCTTGTTTATAGATATACAGATATATCTATAAATATATATTCTAGCCTATACCCTTGTTTATAGATATACATGTATATCTATAAACAAGGGTATAGGCTAGAATAAAGTTGAAGGCAGAAAGAGTCTGGAAAAGTAACATTACATGACATTTTCAGGAAAAATACATTTATTTAATAATAACAAGTCTTTTATCAGAATTACACAATTCAATGGTAGCATAAACAAGTAATAATCTACGTTCAATGGCTTCTAAATGTTTATAGGATACAAAACTATCAACATCTGGCATTTTTTTAATACTTTCTGTAAGAACTCCACCTGATAATTCTTGTAGTCTAATCAAAGTTTTATTTCTTATCCTAAAAAATAAATTTTATTATATACATAAATGAAAATAAAAAGTCTTTTTAAAATTACATGCAACATTGATATAAAGGAGCTAAAATATCGATATGATCCACAAAAGGGTTACCCAATCCTTTTCCATTATCCAACCAAATCAAAGTATCATTTAATAGTTCATAATGATGTCTATCACCGTTTTGTATTAAAAAATCTAAAATGGATACATCAATTAAATCTAAAATGCGATTTTTGTTCAAAGTTTCAGTCACAACTCTAAAAGAAATTAAATTAAAATGCATATAAATAAAGAAGATAAGAAGTTTATACTTGCAAAAATGTTCATTCGTTTCCCAAGAAGCTAATAAATTTTTTTTATAAGTTCTTTTCCATGGATTTGGATACAATTTAAATTTATAATTAATATAAAATATCACAGCTCCATATATATATCCATCTTCAGCACAAACAGGGTCTTTTATATTACAATAATAGCATTCCCCATAAACACAAGTGTTATTGTTGTGGATAAACAGTGTTTTAAGAAAATTTTCAGTGGCTAAAGGAATCACCTCTTTCTTTATACTGAGTTTTCTTTCTGCTGATAAAGGTACAAGGGGTCTATTTAAAAGCCCTGATAAATAAAAACTTAAAATTTCCGATCCATATCTATCTTTTCCAGCATAAACAACCCCATTAATTATTTCTTCTCTATCATAACGCTTTGGTTTAAAAACAACTTTTTGGTTCCCTTCCAAAGTTAGGAGAAACTTTAATTGTGTTCCTTTTGGATTTAACCCTACTTGAAGTATATCTGAATTTTTTAAAGCATCAATAACATATCCTAATTTGTGTGTTATTGAGTACAATTGAGTTTTGTTTATCCACATATTTGCTTCCTTCCACAATTCATTTACGTTATTTGCAGTTGATTTATGTTCATTTTGTACGTATTTAATGAAGTTTTGTGTTATTAAATCGACCTTTGACGATTTTCTTTTATACTTATCTGGTAAATTGTTAAATTTTTCTTGAATTTTTTCTTCTATAATTTCACTATAAATTTTTATTCTTACGGTTTGAGGATTTGTTATTACGTACATTATATAATAAATACTTAGTGTAAATGTTAAAAAAGCTATTAATAGAAGTTTTAACAATTTCTTTTTTCTAATCATTGTTTATTTTATAAGTAAGGTTATGTTATAAATTATATTTTAAGGTTATGTATTTTTGACATAACCTTAAAAATTAGAGAATACATAACCTCAATTAAAATGAGGCGATTTATTGGTAAATATCGTTATTATTATTATTATTAATGATATTTAAAGAATTTTTTTTAGATATAGGAGCAAATTTAACCGATTTAATGTATATGGGTATTTATAATGGTTCAAAAAAACATGATCCTGATTTAAATAATGTGCTAAAACGTAGCTGGAACGCTGGTTTAGAAAAAATAATTATAACAGGGGGTAATTTGGAAGAAAGTGTGAAAGCCCTTGAATTAACAAAACTTGATGGTAATAAATATACTTAATTTATTAACTTAAAACATTTTTTTTCTTATTCAGAAAGGATGTATGCAACTGTTGGTTGTCACCCCACAAGATGTACAGAGTTTGAAGACAAATCTACTCCTGAGGTTTATTTAAATGAATTAAAAAATGTTATTGAAATTGGTGGTGAAAAAATCGTTGCAATTGGCGAATGTGGCTTAGATTACGATCGTCTGCAATTTTGTTCAAAAGATATCCAAAAAAAATATTTCAAATTACAATTAAAACTGTTAGATCATTATAAATTACCATTATTTTTACACTGTCGTAATGCAGCCAATGATTTATATGAAATCCTATCAGAATTCAATTTTAAAGGAGTTGTTCATTCATTTGATGGAACAATTGAAGAAGCTACCAAATTTATTGAGCTAGGCTATTATATTGGTTTAAATGGATGTTCATTAAAAACTGTGGAAAATTTGGAAACTCTAAAACAACTTCCCAATGATAAGATTTTAATGGAAACTGATTGTCCTTGGTGTGAAATTCGACCAAGTCATGCTGGACATAAATATATACAAAAAGAAAATGTTGTTGAAAGTGTAAAAAAGGAGAAATGGAATCCTGAAAAAATGGTTAAAAGTAGAAATGAACCTTGTAATATACGCCAAGTTCTTGATATTATTTCTGGCGTTAAAAATGAAAATCCAGATAAATTATGTGATGAATTTTATTTAAATACAATGAAATTATTTTTTAATAAATAAAAATAAAACTAACAATTTCTTTTTATCTAATCATTGTTTATTATTATAAGTAAGTTTATAAAATAGTTTTTAAGATTATTCAATATTAGACAGAAAATTAAACTGGAACTCCCACATAGACAAGGTGCCACAGGCTCCTTGAAAGAAACTGGGGTCTTAAACCATGAAGTCGGTTGAGACTGGTTTAGTGGCCAAAAACAAATCATAGGCAGCAAAAACGCCACTCCAATCTGGTTGTGGACTACAAAAAAGCCACCTAAAACAAGTAATCAACAGTTGGGAGGCCTCAAAGGTAGCCTTACGCTGGGAAGAACTTCTAGGTGACAGACAAGCGAAGAATATGAAAATTCCGAATATGAAATATTTGGATTTGTCTATTTTCAAGGTTTATAAATAACTTTACTTTTTGCAGTTTGATTCAGCCGTTCTCGAGTTATTCGAATTTTTCTAGAAAAATCTGCTCCAGCAGACATTTGTTCAAAAAATCAGAGAACACACGATTTTTGAGATATCAATTTAGGATTCAGAACATGCTTAAGCAACATGATGAAATATGTTTTGGTGCCGAGAACGGCTGTCTAGATCGTTTGGTCACTTTACTATGGTACGGTAACTTTTTGAAATTTTGAAGTACCATAAAGCCGCGTTGACATGGGTGGTGAATCACGAACAAGAGGCACCCGCGTGGTAACACGAATCTAATTATTTTACAACTGTGGTCATGCCTCTTTCGTGAAACGGGTTTACACGGTAGGTATTTGCTTCAGTCGGGAATATGCAGTGCTTGGTGGCAGAAGCATGTCAAGTTTTGTGTGGTGTGATAGCAGACAGGATTTCACAAAATTTGGCAAGAAAAAGAAAGAAAAGACGATGGTGGACAAGGAAATGGATTCTACAAAGAAGTCATACTAGTTTAATGAAAGACATCTCCAAGTACCCTGAAGATTTTAAAAATTTGCTTAGAATGTCGGAACACCATTTTAATTATTTATTGGAACTCGTTAGCCCCAAAATTCAAAGAAAATCCACTAATATGAGAGAAGCTCTATCGGCCAAATTGAAACTGCAAATAACACTTCGATATTTAGCTACTGGAGACTCTTTTAAAAGTTTAGAATATTTATTTAGAGTACCCNTAAATTAAAATAAACACTTACCAAGTTTGATTGGGTTTCTCTTGCTTTTACGTGCGGCTTGAGAAAAGAATCCATTACTTTGAACCATCTCATTTTGGGAGTATAAACTTCATCAGAACAACACCCGGACTTCATACTCTGCCTAATCTTTTTTATTTCTTGCAAATAGGAGCTACGTAAATTTTTAAATTTCATTATTACATGGATTTCTGTAAAACCATCGATTTCCATTGCATTTGCAATTCTTCTTGCTGCAGCTGCACGAGGCTCTCGTTTTTTATAGTCCTCCCTGGTCGGATCCCACAAAACTGGCTCATTTTGATATAGTTCCAGAAAATTATTGGTGTCTGCATCGTTCATTCTTAAAATATGAGCAGCCATAATTTAACAATTTACTGTCCTCCTGCTCTGCTCACGACTGACCACAAGATACAAAAATCAAACAGGTTTAATATTTTCACGATCGGAATTATTTCCGTTCGTGAAAAGTATTTACACTTCGTATTTCACGAATCTAGCAGTTGACACGGAGCGTAGCTTACGAAAGCGTAGCTCACGTTCGTGATTCACTACCCAACGCGGCTTAACTTCATTTTTTTAAATGGTACCCCCATATTGTATTACTTAGTTGTTTTCGGCGTCTCATTTTACATCTTTTATAGTCTATATGTTCTATACTTAACATTAATAGTTTGGGAATAATTAGGGTTTTTTGAAAAATGCTCACATATCATATCGATATTAACCCAGTGTGCCATGGAAACAAATGTTTAAAGTAATTATTGACAAACGTCAAAGTCTGATTTACGTTGTTTGATGGTTGTGAGTCAAAAACCAGTTAAAATGGAAATTAATAACGTAAAGAATGTTTATACAAATGAAGAAATCCTTAATTTATTTTTTATGCACGGAAAGTGCGACAAAGTTCTTACAAGGGATGTATCAGAACTGTCCCTCACCGATTTTGTTGAAATTTAGTACAGCGATAGTATGGCTAAAAATAAGGTTTACGTATTTTTTTATACGTGCTAATAAAGCCACTGGGGCGAGTTATAAGGGTTGGAAATCGGGGCGAAATATACAGGGTGTTCCGGTGACTCGGGGCATAAAATTAACCTCATATACTAGAGCAAAAATGATGACGATTCGTAAAAAAACATTATTATAAAAGTCTTCAAATGGCCAAGATATGGGCCATCAAAGTTCAGAAATTTTAACACATTTTTCTATATATTTTCAATACCATTTATGGTAGAGGTATCTGGTAGTATCTGAATGACGTGCCCAAACTTCAGGGGGTGATTCTTTAGGCAATTTTAAGGGTACTTTGATATATGAACCATGGGCGACTTCGGCTCGCCCAAAAATTTTAGAGAGATAAAAAAGTTTTAGGATACTTTCATCTACCTATGTAAAATTTTTCTAATGTATGTACGTATAAATAGGGTCAAAACGTGCCCTATTATGAGTTAAACATATTCCCCAAATTTCATTTTCCCAGCGTTTATGGTTTTTGAGAAAAAAAAATTAAACCAAAATTTTCCGCCATTTTTGGAGGGGTGTAGCTCCTTAGGGGAGCCGAAGTCGCCCATGGTTCATATATTAAAGTACCCTTAAAATTGACTAAAGAATCACCCCTTGAAGTTTGTTGCAGTCATTCAGATACACCCTGTATA